ACTTGTGTGTGTGCTCTCTCTCTCTCACTCTCAAGTAAATAAATCTGTTTTTAAAAAAGGCTAGCTTAATGTAGGCTGTAATAAGCCAAGGATGCATATTGAAATCTAGAGGAATGATTATCAAAGCATAAGTATTATCAAAATAGCAGTATAAATATCATCTGGGAATTTTTTAGAAGTAAAAATTCTCAGTCCTCCCTAGACCTATTAATTTATAAACTTTAGAAATAGGCCTAGAAATCTATGTTGGAACAGTCCTCTAGGTGATTCTGATGCACACTAACATCTGAGAACCACTGCTCTGGGTAATTACCAAAAGAAAATAAATAGGTATAATTAAGAACCTAAAAGAAGAGGTAAAACAGAATAATAAAAACACTTGATTAACCCAAAGTAATGAAAGAAAGGAGGAATATAGGAAGAAAGCATAGAGAGGACAAATAGAAAAATAAACAAAATGAATAAAATACATAGTAAGATTGTGAATGTCAACCCAACAGTTATCACATTAAATGTAAATGAAATGCTCGAATTAAAAGACAAGATTTTCAGATTGGAGTCAAGAAACAAAAAGGTACAGATAATTTAAAAGGATTAAGAAGATATACCATGTAAACACGACCCCCCCAAATGCTTGTGTGATTGTATTACTAATACATGAATTTGACTTTAAGAAATATTACTAAAGATGAAGATGTCAATGACAAAAGTTTCAATAAAAAAATCCTTATAATCCTATTAGTAGGCAGCCAATAACAACACTTCAAATATATAAAACCAAAATATCAGAACTAAATGGAGAAATACACAAATCCACAGTCATTGCCAAAGATTTTAATGTACATATCTCAATATCTCATTAAAAATCAGACCAAAAATCAGTAACAATATAAAATATTTGAACATTGTGAAACAACTCGATCAACTGACCTATGTAGATCACTAGTCCCGACAACAGAATATATGTTCAAGTGTACATGGAACATTTACCAAAATAGACCATATGTTAGGTCATAAAACAAGCTTAAGATATTTTTAAAAATTGAATTCATGCAGAGTATGTTCTTAGGCCATGAGGAAATCATGTGATTTCTGAAAACTGATGAAAAAAAAAAAGAACCACTTCTAAATGATCATGGATAATGGAAATTAGAAAATATTTAAATAATAAATAATGAAAGCACAACATCCAAAATGGTGATGTAGCTAAAGCAATGCTTAGAAGGAAATTTATCTAAAACTTCAAATCTCAAGAGCTGGGAAAAGAAGAGCAAATTAAATCCAAGATAGTAAAAAGAATGGTATAATAAATGATTAGTAATAACATGTAAATAATAAATAATAAATGAATAATAATTCAATGTAATTGGTACATTGAATTTATTATACCAATGAGTTAACTGATATAATAAATGAATAGAAATAAACAATATGTGAATCATAATAAATGAGCAGAAAGCCATGAAAGATAAAGCAGACATAAACTAGAATAAACACAATAAAACTAAATATCACTCACTTAAAAAGATTAGTGAAATTATTAAATTTCTAATAAAACTGTTCAAGATAAAATAGCAAGTAAAGAAATGATCAGTATTAGGAATGTAAAAGGAGACAGCATTACACATCCTACAGACATTAAAAGGATAAATGGCTTCAAAGGACATCAAGAAGGTGAAAAGATTTTCCACAGAATGGGAGAAAATATTTGCAAATCATGTATCTGATAGAAGACATGTATCTAGAATATATAAAGAACTCTTATAACTCAACAGTAAGAAAACCATAAAGCTCAATTAGAAGATGGGCAAAGAATCTGAATAGTCATTTCTCCAAAGAAGATATACAGATGACCAACAAGCACAGGAAAAAATGCTCAGTATCATTAGCTTTAGGAAAATGCAAATCAAAGCCACAAGGAGATACCACTTTGCATCCACTAGAATGATTAAAATAAAAAAGATAGATAACAAATGTTGACAAAGATGAGGAAAAATTGGAACCCTCATATGTTGCTGGTGAGAATGTAAGATGGTGCAGCTCCACACTTGGGGGAGTCGGCTTGGGGATTCTCTGCCTCTGCTCCTCCCCCAACTCAAGCACATGCACTCTCTCTCTCTTCTTCTCTCTAAAATAAATACACAAATGTTAAAAAGAAAAAGAAAAAAACCCATTATGTGAAATAAAAGAAGCCAGTCACAAAAGACCACATACTATATGATTCCATGTATATAAAATTTCCAGACTGGACAAATCTATAGAAGATAGAAAGTAGATTAGTGGTTGCCTATTGCTGGAGGTAGGGAGACTCAGAAAAATGGGGAGAAACTGCTAATGGATATGGGATTTCTTTGGGAGATGAAAATGTTCTAAATGGATTCCGGTGATGGTTGTACAACACAGTGAATACACTAAAAATCATTGAATTGTGTATTCTAATTGGGTTAATTGTATGGTGTGTTAACTATATCTTTCAAAAGCTGTTCAACATATGAAAGGATATTATGAACAACCTTACACCAAAAAAAAAACTATCTACTTAGATAGTTCTTTTAAAAATTTGTTAAACACAAAAAGAAATAGAAAATATGAATACTCATAATCTGTTAAAGATGTTGAATCTGTAATTTAAAATCCTCACATAAAGAAAATTTCAGGCTGAAATGTTTCATAGGTAAATTATTCCGAACACTTAAGGAAGGAATAATACCAAAATTACTTTGATTGAAGGGCGTAATCCATTTACATTTATTATAATTACTGATATATTTGAACTTATTTCTACCAGACTTCTTTTTATCTTTTTCTCTCTTTTTCTGACTTCTGTTGGATTTACAAGACCCATTCCTATCCCTCACCTCCACTTGTTTGAGAGGGTCTAGTTTGCATTTCTATTCTTTCAGTAGTCACCTTGAAGTTTTTAACATAGTATTTTCCTAGCAGAGTCTAAAGTTACTCAGTATTTCTCTTCTAAACATGCCTGCTTTAAGCCCATCAAAGCCCACTTTAACCAGCCATTGAGCACCCACAAATGCTGCTCAAGCTAATCTTACTATCTTTGTCTTAAGAGTTAAGATTTTACCACTTTTAAACAGGTTTTTTAAATTTATTTGCAATCAAGAGTTAACTAAATGTACTTTTTTTTTTAAAGGCCACTAAACTAATTTTTGAGAATCTCTTTTCTGAGACTTTAAAAGAAGGCCCAGTGCCTGCCTGACACAGAGTAGGTGCTCAGTAAATGGAATCCACCCTACCCCGCCTTCCAGCACACGTAGTTGTCTCTTTAGCACTAGATGTGAGCACTCAGCAGGCATAGATTCCAGGGTTGGATCCATTTCATGGACAGTTGTCAAAGACTGACCTCTCCTTATGTTAATTTTGTGAGTACTGTACTTGATTGTGCAGTATGCTAAACGGTGCAGGATTAAATATTCTCATTTCTGAGCTGTGAAGTGTTGAAACTGATCAGGAAATGAAGGCAGAATGTCCATCCTTTGGGAGAAGAATCAGCCAGTCTATGTGGCCGCCACTCTTGGCTGCTGATTGGAATGTAGCTGTTAAGGCAGCTGTTTAGCCGTTTGCCCAACTTGAAAGGATACTGCCAAGTGGCAAATACTTTTCATAACAACATTTTACTTTTCTAAGAACAACAATGCATTTTATTGAGTTCCAGCAGTGTGCCAGACATGACAGATTTTTGACTCAGCAGGGTCACAACCTAGACTGAGCATGAATGCTCATTTCCATTTTTGATATTTATAAAAAGAATAAATAGGCCCCAAAGGAAGCCTCTACACAAAACATCTCTACAGCTTAATTATTTGTTGGAGTGATAGCAGATTAACTTGTGAAAATGAAATATCTCTGAAAGGAAAAATGAAAACCTAGAAATGTCAAAGGAGAAAGGGAAAGGGTTAAATATTTTAAGCCTCTCTAATGTGACCCAAGGGTTATTTTACCCCACCTGTCCAGGACAGATGAGGACAGCAGTAGCACAGGAAACACACCATCTTCTGCATCCCCTGCATTTCATGGGTCTCATTCTGGGTCATGCAGTTAATCTATGCTGTTAATTAGAATACTGACACAAAGTACTTAGTAAACAACTGTGTTGCATTTGACAGGCTGTGAACTGGGTGGGGTAGGGCTGTGGGATTATCAACTATTTTATTTAGTGGAAAAAGCAGTGTGCCAAATATGAACATTCAAAATTAAGAAAACACATTTAAATGCTTAAGTATGATTTTCTTCCAAACTGCAAAGTGCGTAGATCATGATCATGTTAGGTTGCTTTCCATACTCAATATATTCTCCCTAGTCAGAAGTTCATGCCTTCAAAAAGGCTTATGGAAAAGGGCTCTAGGCATTAGAGGGATCCTGTACACACCTATTGTTTGTTCCACTTGAAGTGATACTAGAAGAAAGCCTTAACCAACATTAATAGCATTTAGTGTGCAATTCCCACAAACCTTTATGAAGACTACAGGGGTTGAACCAGAGGGATGCCTTCTCATTTTAATAAACCACCATCATCAAAGCTGGAGTGGAGTTGTTTCTGAAGGTGAACTGGGCTGAACAAAGGAATGGTCAATGGGGGTTCTAATTTCTTTTTTCTCTACTGTTTTTTTTTAAAGATTTTATTTATTTATTTGAGAGAGAGAGAGAGAATGAGAGACAGAGAGCATGAGAGGGAAGAGGGTCAGAGGGAGAAGCAGACCCCCCGCTGAGCAGGGAGCCTGATGTGGGACTCGATCCCCGGGACTCCAGGATCATGACCTGAGCCGAAGGCAGTCGCTTAACCAACTGAGCCACCCAGACACCCCATTCTCTACTGTTAACTAAATGGTAATTAAATCATAGATGACAACAGTCTAGTCAACCTGTTTCCTCAAATTGCAAAAGCACACATTTTCACAAAGTTGACATGATTTCTTGAAGAAAGATAGACAAGCTTTGTACTCTTGTTTTTCAGGGATAGAGTAAAGTGGTAAATGCAAATCATGGATGAAATTTATAAGATCGCTTCCACGGAAAGGATCCAGCAGTTAGAAAAAGAACTGTCTGTGCAACTGACTGAACTGAAGTCTGCAATAGAAGAAGAGGAGACTCATGGAGCTTACAGGTGAATAGTAGTAGTGAGAAGGCATGGTCTTCAGGGGCTTTAGCCCCCACTTTTGCCCCATAATCTCCATCAGCTCCCTCTTCTTTTTATATAGACAACTGGCATTATCTCAAGCTCAGATTTTATGGCTGTCTGTAAGTGTTCCCTATATTTCTAGAATTGCCAAGACATTTAGAGGCAATGTCCTACCAAAGAAAACAGAAAAGTGCTTTTACATTTCACAAATACCATTGTCTTAAAGTTCCAGAAGCTATTATACAAATCATACTCAGAAAAGCAAGGTCTCATTTTACCCAAAAATATTTTCATTGAATTTGACCTTGATTTTGATGAGAAATATAAAAACTGAAATAATGCTAGGTATTTGGTAATGAGTTCTGCAAAATAGTATTTTATTAAGGAGCTCTTATAAGGTAAATGTTGGCAATAATATCGATCTCTTCTAGAGAAATAGGGTAACCAGATCAGCCCCTAAGTTGTAAGTCTCATGGGCTCAGGACCTTGAAATCCCTCTATTTCTATTACTGCCACAATTGATCAAGAGGAACAATATGAGGTCTCTGTTAGGTTGAGTAGCCGAGTAACTACAATGTGGATGGTGAGGGTGGGAAAGGGAAGATCAGTTGAAAAAGCAGTAAGTAGGGGCATTACTACCTCACTCCAAAGATGATTCTGAAGAACCAGTATTGGTGTGTTTTATAATATGGTATTTAAAGCCATTGGGTGTAGGAAGCAGATCAAAGATTGTATGATGAAGTGAGAAGGTAATGGAACCATGCAAGCCATAATTTCTCCCAACTTTGGTTTCTTTTTGTGAAAAATGAGGTTACAGATATGTGCCTTGCCTATCTTATAAGGATCAAGTAAGATAATGCACATTAAAGCACTTTGAAAACTAGAAGACACCATACAAAGATCAAGTTACAATTGATCTTGTTACATCTTAAATGTCTGAGTGTCAAACAGGTGACTCCTCTTGGTACATTGTCCTGAAGTCTCTTTTATCTTTTACAATAGAGTGATGGGGAATCTCTGGATCCTTGTATTTCTCTACTCCCCCAAACCACTAAACACTGCACCTGGAAGAATCTACCTATTAATCTGACAAATACCAGCAACTTCTGTTTGCCGGGTGCTGTACTAGGTTCTGGAGTCCAAGGAAAATGTAAAATGTCCACTTCTAATAATCACTTTAGCATTCTCATTCCCCACCAGATTGAAAAAATTTATTGAGAACTGTAGGATAATGGTGCCTTGGTCATTTTTCTTTTTTTTTTCCTTTCACATTCTTTCATCAATTTATCCCCATTAGCTTAAGTCTTTATAGTGGTTAAGTATCTCATAAATGCTTGCTGAATGAATAAATGAATGAATGTATGTTGAATAAGCAATACTTGATGAACAAATAGGTGAATCTCTTTTTTGTGGGTTGACGTACTCACCACCAATCTCATTCATAGACACTTTGAGATTAACTGAGATGAAAAACATGATTTGAGTAAGGGAAGGTTCAGCAGCTAAGCCCAGGACTCTGCCCAATCTTCCAGCATGCCGAAGAAATTCAAAGACAAGAGGGCGGGAAAGGGATGGGCTTCCTCTGTTTCCCTGACCACCTGTTCCCTTTCCTAGCTGGTTACTGGTTCTTGACCTCCATGGGGCTGCAGCCAGGATTCAGGGACGCAGGAATCACAGAAATTATAGCTTTGCTTTAATAATGCTTTTACTCTTAAGGCCCTTTCAGAGCTTGCCTCATTTTTTTTTTTTTAACCAAAGCCAAGATGTGAGGAGATAAGGGAGGCATTATCTCCAACTTCAGTTGGGAATTCAACACAAATGTCTCAATGAGTTGCTTCGGTTCATGTGGCTGAGGGACCTCCTGACTGGTCTTTTCACAGGACCACTGTCCCCAGAGAGGGGAAGACGCTGACAAGTGTACAAACTAACAGTCTATTTTCATCTTTCCTTAAAACCTACCCACGGGGACTAATAGGGTCATATGAACAATATTAACCTAAACTCCGCTGCCTACCATCCTTCTCAAGTATCTAGGTGGTTTCTTATATGTGTTTCACAGCTACCTGCTGTGGTTTCCTTGCCAGTGTTTGCAAGGTTTCATCTTAAGGAAGTGATGTCTACATCAGGGCTGCTGTCCCCTGATGTTCCCAAAGCTGCCAAGCCTTGGCGTATGTCTTACCCCAAATGAGGAGAGCTCCCTTCTTCTTGCCACAGGATCCCACGCCATTCCTGGGCCTCACAGCAGTGCTGCTTGTGCCTTCTCACATCAGAGTCCATCGTGCAAACAACTCCTTTGTGACTAGGCTCGGATGATAGAATTTGGTTAAAAGAAATTTCCAAAGTATTTCATGTTTGATAAATCAGCAAGAAAACAGAAATAAAAACATTCTGTTTAAATTATTAGAGTCTAGTTTTATGTAGGGTGAGAGATGTCTGATGAGCACTTGTTAGAGTTGAGGGTACTGGAGGAAATACAGGTGGCAGAAAGAAAAATCTCCACCACTTTGCCTCTTCCTGTATTCTGGGATTGAAACCAGAGAGGTAAATCAAGGGTAGTAGGAAAGACCCTGTTTGGGGTGAAGAAGAAAATTGGCCCAGGGAAAAGGTTAGCAAACATGAAGTATACACAAGAGAGATTCAGACTAAGACAGAAGCATGTGGTCTTTACATGCTCTCAATAATCCACCCTAATATGACATAGTTATTTAGAAATTAGCAATTGTGAAGAGTTACAGATTAATCAGGGCCTGTCTGTAATTTCGTTTATGACAGTTTCTATGATTACAGCATCTATTACATAAATCTTTCTACAGCTCTGTTCGAATACCAAAGGACATTTCTTACTTTAGAAGAGAAAGGGAACTGGCTCTAAAGAAAACTTTACAGGTGAGTAGGAGTGTGTAATTGTAATACACAACTGTATTGTAATACAACAATATGTTGGATTTTGCTAACTTTTTGGTTATGAGAACAAAACAGCCCAATACTCACTACTAGATCAGAGCAGGCCACTACTTCTTTGGAGATACCTACTTTTTGTGATGTTTTAAAATTTTACAGTTTCTTGATTTGTGATATTAAAATTTGTTATATTGTAACTGAGGTATAACAGTATAATGTGTTGTACAAAAACTATCAGAAATTGTACGTCATTTGCTGTCATAAACAATGATAATTTTACTTCCTTCTTTTTGTTTGCCTGCCCGGTTGCCCTGGGTTCAGGTGCCTGAGTCAAAGTCCCTTGTTGTTCAAGCAGATGTCATGCAGAGGGAGCTAGAGGGCTGCCTAAGAAGAGAGTACACTCCTGAAAATTTACCTTTGCTTCTGTTGCAGGTTAAGTCATGTTGCAACCTGAAAAACAGATCTGGAAATTAATAGAAATGTATGAACAAAGTTGGCTTTCTGGTGTATCCTCTGGCTAGGGTAGGATTTTCTCTACCTGTGTAGTTTGCAGAACTTGATTAGTGTAAATTCTGTTCGTCAGAGACCCATGTCATAGTTCAGTTTGGTTTAGTTATAGTCACTAAACAATTGATTTTCTATCAATTACTCCCTGTGCTGGTATTATGAGGCAATACAATACTAAGTCTCAGTCCTCAGAAAGCTGTTGGCTTAGCTAGGGAAGATATTTATGGAGATATCTTTTAATAAAATAATTCAAAATGTGGTAGAAAATGTTTTCCATAAGGATTATTATTGCAGCATTATAATAAAAGTGAAAAAATCAGAAGTGCCTACATATCCAACACTAGGGGAAAGAGTTAGGAAAAACAGTATGAGACTTGATAGAATATTGTTCTGCCAATAAACATTTTTTAGCCTAAGAAATTATTATGTTTTTAGGTAGTGTTAGTGAACAAAAACTAACATGTCTGTGTGTGTCATAATAATGGTCACATAATATATAGAAAAACCACTTGATGGACATTGATCAAAATGTTAGCAATCACTGTCTTTGGATGGCGGAACAACGAATTTCCTCTTTATACTTTTCTATGTTTTCTAAATTTCTTATAATAGGCATGTATTGTTTTGATTTTTAAAATTCTTTGTTCTTTTGTTAGAAGTTATATCCTCATTATGCATACAAATTAGTTCATTAGCAACTAGTTAGCAATGAATGAATAAATGAATCACAAAGAAATAAAAGACATTGAGATTCTATTTGCAAGTTAAAGTTTTGTCATTATCTTCATCCAAGATTCTCTTTCCCTATCCTTCTGGCACTCTTCATTCTTTTGTGTATATCAGTGATTCTCAGGGGAGAGAAGGGGAGATGAGATGGTGGACATTTGGCAAAGTCTGGAGACATTTTGGGTTGTCACAATTTTAGGAGTGGATTGCTACTGGCATATAGTGGGAAGGGGCCAGGGATGCTGCTAAACATCCAACTATGCACAGGACAGCCCCCACCACGAAGAATTGTCCAGTCCCGGATGTCAATAGTGCTGAGTTTGAGATCTCTGTGCAGATTTCTGTAGCCCTTTCTCTGCATACTATCTCCCTTTCCAATCCTGTGCCCTGCAAACTCCAGCTGACTCAGCCTCCTGAGCATCAATTTCTTTCTCCTTAACTCTGCTTGGGATTCCCTTTCTTACTCCCTGGTTCAGAAACTGCCTATTTCAGGCAGAAAACCAAGGTGATTGTAGGGCTCATTTCATTTGTTTCCTTTTCTCTCAAGGACCACAGTCCTGCACTGTGTGTTGTCTTGGTCAGAGAATAGTTGTCTTGTTTATTTTGTCCTGTTTTCTAGTGGTTTATGATGGAAGGATGAGTCTGGTCCTACTTCATTCCATCATAGCCGTTATTATATTTATTATTGGAAATAAAACATCTAAAATGGTTGGTTTATTTAACGATTTTTAAATCTAAATGAAATTTCTGGCCGAAGATTAAAAGCTATAATCTTACCTGTAATGTGCTTTGTATTTTTTAGTCTCATAACTTCAGTTTTTAAGGAATTTTGAGCTTAGCCTGAGACAATTGTATAGGCTTTTATATCACTGTTAATTGTTCGCTAATTGATAAATGAAACTATAATCTGTTAGACTGGCAACAGATCATATAGATTTAGAAATACATACTTGCTTTATTTAAAATTTAATGGCATCTTAAGCCAGGTTTCTTAATTTTATGATCCTCATGTAGAAAAATCTATCTTTCTGAAACAACCAGAGACTGATTTTCCTATTGTTAGTGTTCTTACGACTTAATTCAGTCTTTCTACTATAATTGTATTCTAAGTGTTAATTTTTATTGTTGTTTCTGTTAAAGTATTATACAGAGAGAATTACCCAGCTGGCCCAGAGTAAATATTCACACATGCTTAGATGGAAGGGGTTTTGCCAGCACAGTAAGATTATGGAGCAACTTTATCCTCTTTACAAGGTAGGAAGCCTAGGAACAGAACCTTTGGGCTCCTTTTTTATTAAGAAACAAAATGGTCAATAAGCCTATCAATACATATTATTAAGTACAATCATCACACCTGTACATTAGATCTCTAGACTTATTCATCCTACATAACTACAAATTTGTATCCTTTTGACCAATATTTCTCCACCCTCTAGGCCCTGGTAACCACTGTCTTACTCTCTGTGTCTATGAATTTAACATTTTTTAAAATTTGTCTTGTAATCATACACTATTTATCTTCCTCTGTCTCACTTATTTCACTTAGCATAATGTCCTCCAGGTCCATTCTTAATGTCACAAGTGTTAGGATTTCCTTCTTTCTTTATTCCTCATAACTAAATAATATTCATATTCACATATTATATATATGTATATATGTATATATGTATATATATACATATATATAATATGCACATGTTCTTAATCCATTCATCCATAAACAGACTCTTAGGTTGTTTCCATATCTTGGCTACTGGGGATAATGTTGCAGTGGACATGGGAATACAGAGACCTCTTTGATATACTGATTTTGTTTTCTTCAGATATGTACCAAGAAGTGGGATTGCTAGATTATATGGTATTCCTATTTTTAATTTTTTGAAGAATCTCCATACTGTTTCCCATAATGGCTGTACCAATTTACATTATTACCAACAACGCATCTTGTCCATTTTTTTAAGTCATGGCTAAAGATGGGAAAGGAACTAATGGATGCACCTATTTGCCTCTTTTGCCTGTGGCAGAAGATAATGGCACCTATTTTTAAGGATGAGATTTGAAGGAAACTTTGTATGATAGAAAATGTGTTTTTCTTCATGGATTTGGCTTCCTCTGCTATAGATAAAGAGCTAAGAAGCCACCTTCACTTACCAAACATCTGTATGCACTGACTCTTCGCTGAAGTCTCTTTCTCCTAAGAATGTAACTGCTGCTATTGTCAGTCAAATTCAGAATGTGAAAGTACTTTGATATTCCAAGAGCCTCTTATTTGGCCCCCAAACAGCATTACCCTACGCTTGGAAGCAAATGACACAAGAGAATAAGACTTGCAAATAACCATGTTCTGTCTCTGCATTACTCTTAAACAGAAACAAGTTGCCTACATTATGCAGGAGTAAAATGATGCCGTTCAGAGAACTGAAAGATTGTCTGTTGCAAGGGAAAACTTCCTTATGGGAAAAAACAATCCTTCTAACTTAGTGACACAGGAAGACCTGACTATTTACACAAAGTGGTTTGTGTGTCACCTACACTCACTTAGGACTATTCACCACTACTTACAGGTGTGTGAAACATAATTATGTGATGGTGTGGTACCCTCCCATGATGGTCAGCATTGTTTTTTCATACCTGTCACCTACTTTTGGATTATCACTCTTTCTGTATTCTACTTACCCTACAAATGACAGGAAAATAATGAGCCACTAGCTTTTTTCTTTGAAACCTTTGAAACCTTTTTCTTTTGAAATCTTGCTCTAATGAAACCACTCCATTAATTTCGTTTTCTCAAAGATGTCTCTGTTGTATTATTTCATATTCACTCTGCAAGTTCTTGTTTTCATCATCTTGGTGAGAATTTATGAAGTCCAATTTAGATCCACTTTTTTACTCAGAAATATCTAATGAGGGTCTAATATATGCCGGGTAAATGTCCAGGGCCATGAAGCAAAACTACGGTCTTTGCTGAAAAGTAACTGGGTCCCAGGTTGGTAGGAAAATGGGCAAGCAAATAGTTAATGGAAGTACAATGTGGTGAGAAAGAATAGAATAAGTATAAGCACAGAGTAAAGAGAGTCACAGAAGAGAAGCCCTAACCCAGGCCAGAGACATCAGAAATGAGTGATGTGATCCTATTTTCATTTTAGAAAGATTATTATTTTGCTACCTAAATCTTTTCCTACTCCTCTATGGCTTATCTCAGTGATACTACCACCCACCAAGTTACCCAAACCAGAAACCTGGCCATCATCCTAACTTCACCCCTTCCCCAGTCAGTCACTATGGTGTCTACCTCTGAATCCTCTCTCCCCAGTCATGTGGTATAATAACACTCTGCTCATAAGTCTCCGTTCCCCACTAAACTGTAAATTTTCTGAGGTTGGTCCATGGCTTAATTCTTCTTGGTATCCCTAGCACCTCACATGGTGTCTTGTCCATTAGGGATGCTTGATCATGTAGACCCACTTGGAGATTAAGGTTGCTTAACAGTGGTGACTGCAACAGGTCTCTCAGATCTAGATTTAGCATCCCATGTTTGAGCAGTTTACTATCAGGCCCAACTATCAGGTTCCTTTATCAAAGCAAAGGGCTGCCCCTGAACCTAAGTCTAGAAGCTTTTGTGAGTGTTGAGTTGACATTTGGACTCTTGGTGGTGCTTTTCTGTAGTCCCTCCAGTACTTGCCCATCTCCAAAGTGCTGAGTGTAGCTGTCGATGAAGTCCCTGAGGCTGGTCAGGAGAATGAAAAGGTCTGTGTCAATGACATCAACCCTAAAAACCAGGGTTCTGCATCTACAGGCTCGGTGGATACCAGCATTTCAGGTAAGAAATTAGTCTTCTTTCCCCTAAGGTAATGTGGAGAAAGAAGATTGTGGCTTTGCACATGTGTTATTTTGTCACTTGATCTTGCTTGAAATTTTTCTATATACCAAGAAGTTATATCTTCTTAATAAACAAATATTTAATATTTTCTGATGAAAAAAATATGCACTTTTCTTAGCCATTATTATCTCCATCTTTATAACTGGCAAATAAAGAGAGAGGAAAAGAAGCAATGAACTTGAAGTTGGGAGTACTGGGTTCTAGATGTGTTTCTGTCAGGGCTTCACTGTGGGCCTGCATGTTTAGGTCATTTCATCTCGTTGGGCTTCAATTTATTCATCTCGAAAATAAACCTTGCAGATTAAGTGATATCTAAGATCTCTTTCAGTTTGAGTATTACATATTTGAAAAATAATTTCCTTATCTGAATCAATTTAATGGTCTTCCTGTCCTTATCTTGTGTTATAGATGACTAAGAAACCTAATTAGATTTCTACTCTGAGTGACATATTTGCTTAGGATATGTACAGAGTGACACAGGAGCACCTGAAGAGACAGCCAACCTAGTTGTGGGGAATCAGGGAAGGCATCTCAAAGGAAGGGAGTCCAAACTGTGTCTTTAAAAATGAACAGAAGTGAGCCAGGCAAAAGGAGATAAAGGCTCTCACCTTCTTCTAATTTGTTGTTTAATTTATAAATCATGCTCTTAGTTTACCACAAAGGACTATGGGTAGTTCTCCTCCCACTAAGTCATTCTTCAAAGAGTCTGTTGGGTGTCTCCTATAGGCCCTGTGAAGGTGAGTGGTTTTGCTCCCTCCCCCAAAAAGCCAGCATCAAGTGTTTGTCAGATAGGTGTGGCTCAGCGTGGTGCAATCTGTAAATTATAGCAGAGATGTTTGGACAAAGCAGAATGGCTCTGTCAGCAGAGGAGATCCTGCCTCAATTTCATCTCAAAGGACACTCCATTTTCTCTCCCTGACTAGTGTTTATTGGTCTTCATGCTCTTGATTTTGGATTGTTTTAGGGCTGACAAGAACAGAAGCTGTTTTTTTCCTGCCCCAACACACGACTGAAAGAGAAGAACTGACACCTCAGCTGGGGCTCCTGCTCTCCCATTTCAATATCCCCTATGACGTGGAAGAGCTGAGAGATGCTGCTCAGGAAATGGAACTTTTTAACTTGGTACTTGATGGACTCTTTCTTATACAAAGATAGGTGTTCATGAAAGAAAACACTATTATTTGCCACAAAGTTGGATATCTCTCCTGCCATAATTGTTTCTAGAGTGATAAAATATAGGTGAGATTTAGATTGGCAGTTGAACCTCCTCTCTGTTAAGAGAACTGGAACCCTTGAATATACAATGCAGAGGGATTGCAGGATTGATTTTTCTGCAGAATTTAAAGAAAAAAGTGGGTTAGAGTCCATAGTAGATGATGTAAATGTAGCCAAGTTTTGGCAGAGTTGCATAACGGAGTTGTCTAGAGTCTCGAGCCCTTTGATTCTCACAGTGTGTTGTAATAGCTCTCCTATTGGCAAAATGCTTTATATATTCAATAGAGTTTATATTGCATAGTGATTTTTCAAGTCATGCAGTCTGTGCTATAACACAGTGTTGCACTTCCTTTAAAAAAGCCTCATATTAACAAAAGCCATGTTAAGGGGCACCTGGGTGGCTCAGATGGTTAAGCGTCTGCCTTCGGCTCAGGTCATGATCCCAAGGTCCTGGGATCAAGCCCCACGTCGGGCTCCTGCCTCAGCGGGGAGCCTGCTTCTCCCTCTCCTTCTGCCTCTCCCCCTGCTCATGCTCTCTCTCTCTCTATCTCTGTCTCAAATGAATAAGTAAAATCTTTAAAAAAAAAAAAGCCATGTTAAAACTTATTTCAAAGGGAAAAATAGGATTATGTATAGACAGTTTCAAGTTCATAATATAAAGTTTTCAGCCAAAGCATCCACAATAAAGATATTTCTCTAGCTCTGGGTATATAATATTTGCAAGTATATATATTTGCTAGGTAAAAGTAGTAAACTGATTTAGCCAAACAGGCAAAAATCAAATCTGAATGTTTCTGAATGCTCTTTGTGTAAGAAGGAGTCACTGTCTTCTCTATCACCACTTGCCTTGACATTCAGGTTTCACTTCCATGTGTGCGTATTCCACATGATTTTACTAGGATTATTTCTGTATGTAACACAGGCTCTTTACACTCCCTGAAACCAGTGGTATCACTTGTCCTCCAGTTTCTTTTTTTTTTATTTTTTATTTTTTATTGTTATGTTAATCACCATATATTACATAATTTGTTTTGGTGTAGTGTTCCATGATTCATTGTTTGTTCATAACACCCAGTGCTCCATGCAGAATGTGCCCGCCTTAATACCCATCACCAGGCTAACCCATCCCCCTACCCTCCTCCCCTCTAGAAACCTCAGTTTGTTTTTCAGAGTCCATCATCTCTCCTGGTTCATCTCCCCCTCTGACTTACTCCCCTTCATTCTTCCTCTCCTGCTATCTTCTTCTTTTTCTTTTTTCTTAAAATATGTTGCGTTATTTGTTTCAGAAGTACAGATCTGTGATTCAACAGTCTTACACAATTCACAGCGCTCACCGTAGCACATATCTTCCCCAATGTCTATCACCCAGCCACCCCATCCCTCCCACCCCCGACCACTCCAGCAACCCTCAGTTTGTTCCTGAGATTAAGAATTCCTCATATCAGTGAGGTCATATGATACATGTCTTTCTCTGATTGACTTATTTCACTCAGCATAACACCCTCCAGTTCCATCCACGTCGTTGCAAATGGCAAGATCTCATTCCTTTTGATGGCTGCATAATATTCCATTGTGTATATATACCACATCTTCTTTATCCATTCATCTGTCGATTGTCCTCCAGTTTCTTTGAATGTGATGATGTTTTAGCTCTTGCCTTTCTTTTCATTATCTCCAGCAGCACTATCTACAGAAGAGCACTTCTTTTTTCTTTTTAAAGATTTTATTTGTTTTTTGAGAGAGCGAACAAGTGTGAACAGGAGGAAGAGGGAGAGAGAATCTGAAACAGACTCTGAGATGTGTGCAGAGCCTAACAGAGGCTCAGTCTCATGACCATGAGATCATGACCTGAGCTGAAACCAAGAGTCAGATGCTCCAGGAACTAGCCACCCAGGCACGCCTACACACAGCGCTTCTATGCGAGTATCCTTACCCTCATTATCAGCAAGTGTTATGATAGATGAAAACTGGAATTGGAATATGATGGTGTTTTAAAAGAGGCAAAATAATACAAATAAATTATAACACAGTAGACTATCGTCAATGATAACAAAAAAACATACATGAGGCTGTTGAGCAAATTTCTCCCCAAAGAATAGCTTGTTTCCTTATATAGTGATAGTTTCCACTTCTGACTTTCTTATAATAGTATTATGTGCAATGCTTGTGCACAGTTTTTTTTGTGGTTTTTTTTTTAATGTGTAGGAAGAGTTCTTATATTTGGGTACTATTTATCTGGTTCTCTAATTCCTTAGAGCAGGATAAGCAAAGTATAACCTGCAGTCCACCACCTGTTTTGTTTTTTAAAATAAAGTTTTATTGGAATTCACCCATACTCATTCATTTACATATTATCTTTGACTGCTTTCATACCACAACTGCAGAGTTGAGTAGTTGCAACAGAGACCTATGTATATGGTCTGCAAAGGCTAAAATATTTACTATCTGGCCCTTTAAGAAAAACTTGACCACCCTAGCCCTAGGCTAGCACTGTCTGATTGATCTTCCTGTACTGATGGACATGATCTGAATCTGCACGGTTCAATATGTTAACCATGCAGCTATTGAGCATTTGAAATGTGGGCAGTGTAACTGAAGAACTAAATTTTAAATTTTATTTAATTTTAATGATTCACATTTAAATGTTAAACAGCCACATGTGGCTAGGGGCAACAGCATTGGATAGCACAGCCCACAAGGTACCAGCATTAACTGGAAGAATCTTTAGCTCTGTGACTCATTAAACTTGCTCTTTCATTCAGAAACCTTTGTTAAGGCCCTAGTATGTGCCAGCACTGTGGTAGGATCTCTGTGCATGTGTGTGTATGTGTAATAAAATATATATAAGACTGACCATTTTAACCATTCATAAATGCACAGTTTAGTGGAATTAATTACAAACACATTGTTGTGCAACCATCACCATGTGGTTGGTTCTTGAGATTCATAGTCTGTGCCCTCCAGAAGTTCACCAGGTAGTGAGGAAATCATGATGTAGTGTGGCCAGTGCAATGAGGAAGGTACTATCACAGGCTCAGTAAGCCTGGGCCCGCTCTAGAGAAGGAAGGAAGAAGTGTTCTACATTTTGGCAGGAGAAAATTTATGTCACAGAAAGCACTATCAGCCTCAGTCAGAAAATGAGAGGTGAAGGAATTGGCTGAGGTACCCTAAAGAGTTTTAACAGGTCCCAGCATTTGGAACCTTCTCTCTAGCAACATCCTGGTTAGAATTCTGGAACAAGGATTTATCTAACCTTTAGATTTTCAAGTTTACCAGGTGGCCAGAAAAAGTGAATGTATGTCTAATGGTGGACAAATTTGCTTCCCATTTAGGGTCCATCTCAAACTACATACAAATATATTACATAATTTCCAATCTTTGGAGCAGATATTCAGAACAAGTAACACATACACACACAACTATGGTAATGAGCTGACTGCATACACGTACCTCACAGCTATATACATTCAATGCCTGTTACTGTCAGAGTTATGTTTTATGAATTAGTTTAACTTCAAGACTGTCTCAAAGGCAATCAATTGTGGTTTTTGAAATGGCCTACAATCTGAGACTTTTTCTGGGTTCCATACTCTCTTCTTAATCCTATTTAGGTTTCCCTAAAATTTCAAAGCATCTTCATGGAGCAACAGAGAATGCAAACATTTCCAGATTATGATGCGGAGATAGCTAAAGTGGAGAATTTGGGTTTGGCAGGACCTGGTATGGCCTTGAAAAAGAGAGCTAACTGGACTTCCTTTATAAAGATAAGGAGACCTATGGTGACAGTCACCTGTCACAAAGTATCCTCCAAGCAGGCCAGGCAACCTGGCAGCACCAGGTCTGTCACATTCCTATTGTCCCCTCTCCTCAATGTCCTAAGCAAACTGTCCCCTGGGACCAAGGGTAGGTGCCTGGCCTTGTACACCAGGTTCCCGAAGCTCCTTCCTGCCTTGGGTCTACGTTGAAGTTAGCCATGTTGACCTGCCTTCTCTGGAAAGTCCCCATACTCCTGTACTCTCTGTTGGGTCAGAACTCCATTCTTCTTGTTCGTGATCTTGGCTACTTGGCTAGAACCAAGAATAACACTCAAGGGTATAATTGAGTTGTATAAATCCAGCTTTTGAGTCAAAAACTATTCACTGAGTATATACTATGTGTCAGGAATGACCCTTGGTTCTGGAGATATGCAATTCACAAACAATACACAGGTAAGCAGATTAAACAAGGTGATTTTGGGTAGTGGTAAGTATAGTTGATTTTCATTGTTTGGGGCAGTTCTTCTATAAAGTTGCCACAAACATTGAATTAACAAATACTGAACCATCTCTCCTAGGGGAAATACAAGGTTAGGTTCATCAACTGATCGATACATAACCTTGCTTTATGTGTATTTCTGTTTAAAGATACCTTAATATATGTTTTTGATTCATTAACATTGATCTCATGGCCAACCACTATAACTCATGCCCAAAGCTTATCAAACATAAATATTTCTTCCATAAGACATATCACAGTCTTCCTGTACTTAGGAACACTAGGCAACACTTCAGCACTACACTTAGGGGCCACTTTAAACATTGAAATTGCCAAAAAAACCCCACAAAAATATAGAAATATATCACTAACTAGACCACAAAAAGGACACTTGTTTATAGAATGAGAGCTGAAACAAGAAGGTTGAATGTTGCCTTGTATGACCTCAGCTGGGAATGTGGAGTTGGGTGATTCAAATTTTTCACCATTCTTTGCATACCCATGAATAACCAGAATAGATCTGCCAGGATTGATTTTGGGGTTACAAATAAATTTTAGTGAGAAAAATTTGCAAATACAAAATCCATGAATAATGAGGATCAGCTATATTGTGTAGGAAAGAAAAGTCTTATGTGATAAAGATGAATGGAAGGAAAGGAGAGAAATCAAAGATTACTCCTAAGTAACGGGGCTTGAGCAAATAGGTGATTGGTGTAGGGAAAGCCAGACTTTCTGTTCTAGATTTTTACATTTGCCTTACACCTATATATATCAAGGAGATAGTTGGATATCACATACTAGAGCTTAGAGCTAGATATAAGTTTGAAAGTTATAAGTATATTGATGTATTCAGAGCTATAGAACTAAATTTTGAAATATGCCCTGTTAACGGGTAAGGTAAAATTTTACATGTGGAGTCTTTGAAGGAGAACTTCTCTTGCCCTATAAGTCAAGTGTGGTGTCCTACGCTGATGGATTTAAGTTCCCTCCTGCTCATGGATGGTGCTGTGTCGTTGCAGATGAAGCTAATGCATCTCATAGGCCAGGCACCAGCAGGAACTGCCCTGCCATCTCCCTCCATGGATCCATGAACCCATGAAGACCCTTTCCAAGACTTCACATGCTCTAACAAACTTTCTAGCACTAAGGCTAGATCCCATTTCAGAAGGTCCTTGAATCTCTTTGCTTGCAACTTTTATTGAGAACTATTCTCTTATGTTGTAACTTTGTGTGAACATGTTTGTCCACTAGATTAAGCCAAAATGTGATCCTTGGCAAAAGAAGATTTTGACCAAACTAAAAGAATGGAAAAGAATAGATGTATTAATGCAACTCCAAGCAAAGTTTTTGAAGGTAAGAAAATAGCCATCTTGCCTTGTAGATAAAATTCTTGCTAAAATCATTCTCAGAAAATTGAATTTTCTTTCCTTTTTAAGAAATGTTAGCCATGGATTCTCTGTGAAGACTTTTTTGGAACTTTCTAATCTAATTGCCAAAATTTTATAATACTGTTAATTTCCAATAGAAAGTAACAATTTTTCCAGCTTTGGCACTAAGTCTCTGTGTGATATTGATCTAATTGCACAACCTCCTTGAGTTTGTTTCCTCATCTGTGAAATAAAAATACTGGATGAAATTATCTTATTTTTACTGTGGTAAAAAGCACATGGGATAAAATTTCTCACCTTAATCATTTTAAGTGCACAGTTTAGAGGTGTTCAGTATATTTGCACTGTTGTGAAACTGATCTACTGGAACTTTTTCCTCTTGCCAAACTGAAACTCTGTACCTCTTAAACAACAATTCCCTACTTCCTCCTCCCCACAGCCCCTAGAAACCACCATTCTACTTTCTGTTTCTGAATTTGACTACCTTTACATACCTCATATAAGTGGACTCATACAGTATTAGTCTTTTTGTGACTGGCTTATTTCACTTAGGACAATGTCCTCAAGATCCATCCATGTGGTAGCATGTGACCATATTTCCTCTCCCCATTTTTTTTCATGAACATTTTACCAGCTTTATTCATAATAGCCAAAAATGGAAACAACACAGATGTATTTCAGGAGGCAAGTAAACTAATCGTGGTACATCCTGTACCATGGAATACCAGTCAGCTGTAAAAAAAGAACAAACTAGTGATATACCCAAGAGCCTGAATGAATATCCAGAGAACTCTATGAGTGAAAAAAAGTCAGTCCCATAAAGACTGTAGGAGTTCATTTATACAGTGCTCTTGAAATGACTAAGTAGAGAAATGAGGACAGATTCGTGAATTGTAAGGGTTAAGGGGAGACTGGTGAGAAAGGGAAAGGAGTATGGCTATAAAAGAACAACATAAGGGATCCTTGTGGTGATGGATCTTTTCTGTAAGTTGACTGTATCAAAGTCAATATCCAGGTTGTGATACTGTACTATGGTTTTGCAAGATGTTAACATTGGGGGAAATGGAGTGAAGAGTACATGGGACTTCTTTATATTATTTTTCCCCTCTTTTCTTAAATGGTGGTAAAATACACATAACATCAAATATACTATCTTAACTATTTTAAGTGTATAGTTCAGTGACATTAAGTACATCCATATTGTTGGATAATCATCACCACCATCCATCTCCAGAATCTTTATCCAGCAAACTGAAACTGTTTACCCATTAAACAATAACTCCTCATTCTTCCCTCCCCCTAGTCCCTGGCAACCACCATTCTAATTTCTGTCTCTATGAGTTTGACTACTCTAGGTACCACCTATTAGTGAAATCAGACAGTATTTGTCATTTTATGACTGGCTTATTTTACCCACCCAGGTTCACCCGTGTTGTAGGATATATCAGAATTTCCTTCCTTTTTAAGGCTGAATAATATTCCCTTGTGTATATCCACCACTTTTTAAAAAAATCTATTTATTTGTTGATGGACATTTGGGTTTCTTCCACTTCATGGCTGTTGTGAGTAATGCTGATATGAAGATGGATATGTAAATACTTTTTTGAAATCCTGCTTACAAATCTTTTGGATATAAACCCAGAAGTAGAATTGCTAGATCATAAGGTAATTCTGTTTTTAATTTTTTGAGGAATCTCCATACTATTTTCCATAGAAGTTGCAGCATTTGGCAATACTACCAACAGTGAGCAAGGGTTCCAATTTCCCTGCATTCTCACCAGCACTTGATACTTCCTTCCTTCCTTCCTTCCTTCCGCCTCCTCCCCCTCCTCCTTCTTCTTGTTATTAGCCATCCTAATGGATGAGGAGATAATCTCATTTTGGTTTTGCTTTGCATTTCTCTGATGATTAGTGATTTTGAGAATCTTTTCATATGGTTATCAGCCATTTGTATATCATATTTGGGAAAATGTCTATAGAAGTCCTTTGATCATTTTTTAATTGGGTTATTTGATTTTTATTGTTGTTGTTGAGCTGTAGGAGTTCTTTATATATTCTGGGTATTAACCCCTTATCAGATATATAATTTGCAAATATATTCCCTCCTTCTATAGACTGCCTTTTCACTCTGTTAATTGTATACTTTGATGTACAGAAGTCTTAAAGTTTTATATAGTCACATTTGTCTATTTTTGCTTTTTTTTTGCCTGTGCTTTTGGTGTCATAACCAAGAAATCATTGCCAAATTCAATGTTATGAAGATTTTCCCCTGTTTTTATCTAAGAGTTTTGTAGTTTTAGGTCTTATGTTTAGATCTTTAATCCATTATGAGTTAATTTATTGTATATGGTGGATGATAAAGATTTAGCTTCATTATTTTGCACGTGGATATCCTGTTTTCCTAGAATCATTTGTTGAAAAGACTGTCCCTTCTCTGTTGAATGGTATTAATATTCTTGTCTAAGATCATTTGACCATATACTCGAGCATTTATTTCTAGGCTCTCTATTCTATTCTGTTGGTCTATATTTCCAATTTATTCCAGTACCACACCATTTTGATTACTGTAGCTTTGTAATATGGTTTGAAAGCAGAAAGTGTGAGTTCTCCAATTTTGTTCTTCTTTTTCAAAATTACATTGGTTATTTGGTGTCCTTTGAGATTTCATATGAATTTTAGGATGAATTTTTCTACTTCTGCAAAAAAATGTCATTGGGATTTGGTAGGGATTGGACTAAATGATATTTGAAGTTCCTTGTGATATTAAAATGACTGAAATACCATAATACATGTATCGCTGCTGTTGAAATTCAACTCTGGGACTATTATTTGATCCTTTACCTCCAGAAGAGAAGGAACATTTATTCAGTACCTATTACATGCCAGGCATTCTTGCAGCAATCCTGGGAGAGACATCATTAGTGTTCTTATTAGATTGACTTGTCCTGCTCTGTGTGGTGAAGTCAGGATTCCAGCAGAGATACGAGCCAAGGCCCATGTCCTTACAAATCCTGTGCTTTCCTCATACTACATACATACATACATACCCAGTTTCCTCTTCCTCCATCTGCTGGCAGCTTCCTAATAGCAAACAGAGTTTGTACCCAAAATGATGGGTGTTTATCTTTTTATTGGTGCCATAGCACTTGTGGGGGTACAATCTGCTATTGTGTTTAGAGGGTTGTCACAGAATTTTAAATGAGCTGCTATGTGTATTTAATACTTACATTGTTGAATGGATGGACATACCAAAGGGAATTGTGATGTTTGAGTCTGATTTTATTTTTTAACTGAATAAAGCCCCACCTGGTGCTTATGTCTTATTTGTGTGTATGTGACCAAATTCTTGCTAAGAAGAAGGGAATAACCTTTACTGAACCATTCCTTTTCCTCTTGTTCTACTTGAGATTTCCAGGCCTGAGCGAGTAATGCAAGTGCTCCAAGACCACGCTGCCAAGTGCTCCAAGACCATGCTGCAAAGACAGTCACGTTGGCTCCATCTCATCCAACTTTTGTGGCTTCCCAGGGTTTGCATCAGTGCAACTATGACCACATCTGGGAGAATATTTATAGCAACATCAACCTCTACCAGGTATAACAGGAAGAAATAACCAACATGCCTTTCTGTTCAACTCACTATCTGTGTGTAGACCTTAGACATTTACTTTGGTAGTTTTTCAGAGACCCTCCCCATAAAAGCTTCGTTACCCAGCCAGGTTTGTTTTTGTTATAAAAAAGATTAAATGCTAATGAAAAATAGGGATATAAAGAGGTATAAGATATTGCTGCTGGGACATATACTTAACCACTACATACCAATGCAAAGCTGCACACTCTAGTGCTAAACACCAGTAAGCTGGACAATTGTTAAATATTGTGAGTGTTTAGAGGCAAAGTGGTCCCCCCAGGGTTGGTTCTTTTGGGAAAAGCCTTTTGAAGGAAGAGGAAATTGAACTGGGTTTGAAGGAATTGTGGGGCTCAGGGAAGTGGTGGTGGAGACGGAAGCACATTATGTAGGAGGGAAGCATGAACAACAATGCAGAGGAGACATTGTATGTGGACTGTTCAAGGCCAGTTTGGTGGAGCAAAAGATTCATGTGGAAATATGGGGAAGAGAAGTTTTTTTAAGGGGGAGGAGAGAGAAAGTTATGAATGTCCATAAATTTTAGACAAAGGAATTTATGCTTTATCCTATAAGGGAAGTGATATATACAAAGTTGTATTTTTTAGGAAGATTGATATGGCAGCAAGGTGTTAGTTGGATTGAAAGAGGGAAAGATTGGAGGCAGGGAAGCCAGCCAGATAGCTGCTACATAAGGTAGGCCTGAAGTTTGGCAATGAAAGGCAATTTCTACACAAACCTATTGGATATTTGTCTTTACAATGGTACTATCACATTTTTGAATAATGCTGCTATTGTTTGTTGCTCTAAGGGAAGAATTTTATTTCCTTTGCTTATTTAAGATGGGAAGACTCAATATGTTTATGGTCTGGGAGGAATGAGCAGTGGAGAAGAAGAGATGGAAGATATGAAAGGGTAAATTTGAGAAACAGATGACCCTGGCCAAAGAGGAGGGGATGGGATGAAGAAACCAGTTGAAGGAGTAATTTTGAGAAAGGGAGAATGGCATCACTTCCCTTGAGGTGAATAAGAATTGTCAGGTACAAAAGGATAAGATGTGCTCACTTGTACATGGCCCTGGCTGTCTCAGAGAGAGAGAGAGGAGAGGGAGAAGATGCCTGCATTAGTGAGATGCAAGATGAAAGTGACATGTGAGGAGGTGGGTCACTGTGGGGAATGCCACAGGGCCACCAATGAGAAAAGAATATAAGGATGACCGTGTAGCTAGACGGCCCAGTTGAAGTAAGAGGGCATGACTTTTAGTGAGCCCAATCTGCATAATAATCCTATTATTTTCACCCCTAAAGATAATTGTAGAAATTATACATAAAGTCGAAGGTACG